CGGTGTACAAGCACCTGCGATTGCCTATTAAAGAGGCTACCAATTAAGTCATAAAGGTCTCCTACCCTATTTTCTGGTTATTAGGTTAGTTAATCTTGTTCCCTTTTTGGTCATAACGTGAGAGCATGATTGAAAGGATTGAGTCCAGCTCAAAATCCCTCCATGAGGGGATCTTCGACACGCGGGCTCCATGTCGCTGAGGCCACGGCAAGCCAGCATCTGGACACGCATATTGTTGGCACATGTAATGAGACTTCGTCATGTGACCACAAACCCGTGTTACTAGGTGGAAAGGGAGAATTATCGTTCTAAGAGGACCAAAATGAGACAAGTAAGAGCAAAAGTGGTGGTTCGTGGGCGGCGCTTCAGACGGAGGGCTATTTTATCCGCATACCTGCATACCCCCTGGGCTGCAGCGCGAAACTGCGATCGCCTCCAAGTCACCGGGCTGGACATGTGACTCTCAAGCAAACAAAGCGGGAGTCTAGCTCGAGGCGCTCGAGCCTACCGGCGTCACTGACGCTGCCACACACCTCCGGCGAATGGGACTCTATAAATGAGAGAGAGGGGACCAGAGGAGTCTGTTCCGCCCCGAAACCAGGACGGTGCCGTTCTCCAACCTTTCCGCTACCTTTTATCGCCTGGCAGCAATGCACTTGCCCTACGCTCCACACCTCTCTCCCGAAAAGCCGAAGGAGACCATGGTGAGGCTCAACTTTAACAGCCAAAGCTCATCGGGTCTATTAGGACTGCTTCCAGACACCATATTTACTCTTTAACATAAAAGCAAAGACAAAGAAGAGCCTAAAAACTACTTACAGCGATTTTTTCATATTATTGTTTTATGCCCAGACTAATCCTCCGAAAAATGTGAGGCCATCGGGGCAGATTAAAGAAAATATTCGCAATCCGTTGCTGATAAAACTGCAAGCGACATAAAGCTTGCAACGATTCCCTAAGCATCATTTTGATGAGACCCTCGACGCATCTGGAAGTCCCCTAAGGCATATATATTTCCATTACCCTGGTGGTTTGGTTGCCAACTAAGTAGTAGAAGTGCCTCCTATCAGGCATGCACATCTTCTGACTAAGTATGGCTTAAACAGGGCCCAAGGCTACAAACCAAAAGCCAAGCTCTGAAAGTATCCCAAGCAGAATAATCACTGGGCCCAATCTTAATGATATGCTTCGGACAATATTATAGTTCGACTTGGTTGGTCACCGATAATTCACATCTTGGTGCAGTATCAATAACACCAGAATACGAATTAGGTCTCGAGCACAGGTCTGGCGACTTCAGCCAAATGGATTAAGAGAAACCGATGGCAGGTAACACTAGTGGTGATATGTCAGAATGTACGAGGGCCCGGGATAAATTAAAATGCAGTGGAACAGCTCGGCCCAAGGTGGCTTAAATAAAATGAGCCCAAGCCTACCGCAATGGCACACCATATACACCCACGAGCGATCAATGTAGCTTAGGTGAACGATCTGAACGCGATTATACTCAATATGCCACAGGATAACACAAAACCCCACCTCACGGGCTACTGTTTCCAATTGACTGGTATTCTCGAAAGCCTAATAGAAAAAATTACTGTCGGACAGTCACAAGAGACGTCACCACTGCCAGCAGTTAACTTAATGCCGGAATGTGACGGGCGGCTTCAACCCGATGGTGGAGTTATTTTCTGACATACTTGACTTGTATCGACCATATATCGTCAGAACGCGGCGCGTTAGGCCTCACATGATGTATTCTATGGTCTCCCAAAACATCGGCCGGGCATGACTACTAACCATTAGCACCATTAGGATAAAAACAAATACATCAGTTGATTGCCACAAAGAATCAAGAGGAAGAATTCATGGGATCCGAAAATAAGATGGCCATCCATCTCTGAGGAAATAGTTTAGTGGAAGGCGAGGCCATCGCTAGTCGTTAATTAAACGATAGTCACTTACTTGCCCTGGATCCGAGACTTGCTGAGCTGGCAGCAAGAGTGATTTTCGTGAGATTTCCGCTCTAATATTTCTATCACAGATGTATTTAGCCAACCCCTCAGCAAATCCAGAATCGAGATCGAGCAGATTAACGAACCTATGCTGCCGATTTTACTAGCAACTCGAAGTGTAGGAGATTTTTCTTCCCTGTTATGAAGAGCAGCAAGATCAGTGCACTTATTATGCAAACAAGGTTTGCCTATAAAAAGGGTCATTAACTGAGGTCATCAATATTAATTCAAGAGCGAATGCTTAGGTTGATTTTAAAAACTACATATAGGGCAACAACGCAACAATTCAAATAATTCGAGGTGACTGGCAAGGGGTGATAAACACCATGAGAGATTCACGCAGGGATATGAAAACTTCGACTGGTGGGGGGGAAGAATGTTGTATTATGGGGAAAAGTCAAACATTATTAGTTAAGTAATAGTGAGTGCTGGGATAGTCTTCAAACCAGTTCGTTAATAAAGGTGTCAAAAGAAATACTGAATATCTGGCCGATAAATGAAGTATCTCGAGACTGTCGACAAAGACCAGAGCCACATCCACCCTTTACTTAATATATCTAAATGATATAAGCCCGTAAAAGCTGAAGCGTGAACTCCTGGTCACTTCCATTCAATGAAGGAAAAAACAATGGTGGAATTATAACTAATAATTTTCTGCTATTTCCGTAGCTAAAAGCAGTAACATGATAAACACATGTTTGTGAGATTGGCAAAAATGGTTCTTTGGCATGCAAGATGAACAAGTTCATGTGGTTCACAGAGTTGCTTTGAGATTGTGCTATATTTGACGACTACGCCTGAGATCACGCTCTCTCTGACGTCGTTCTGCTGCCGAAGCTGCAAGGTCTGGATTGAAGGCCGAATTAAAGGGAAGACTTCGCTCATCTGGTAATGAGGCACTGGCAGCAGCCTCACGAGCAGCTTGTGCTTCTAATATCTCTGTCAAACCCATGGCTCGGGACATAACGAGAGCAGCGCGCTCGCGTTCGCGGCGCTCTCGAGCCAATCTCTCGGAGCGCATTCGATCGAGGGCATTTAGTTGCTGGTCAGCCCTACCATCGGATGAATTATCTATGCATGTATTAGTAAGGTCTGGTCCAGTAGCAACGATGGGATAAGCAGTAACCTGAGCTGCCTTTATACTCTCACTAGAGTCAGAGCTGGATCGATTTTTTTTTCGCCGAGTTTTTTTGCGACAAGACAAAATGTCACCTGAAAATTCATCTCGAGTTCTTTTTTTCCCTGACAATTGCTCTTTTTTATGTTCATGTTTCTTGCTTTTTTTGTGTCGTTTCTTAGAACTTCTTTGGCTGGATGAATCACTGTCGTCTGCATTATTCGGGTTTTCGAGTCGAAAATACTCGTCTGAGATGCTAGCCACAGACGATGGAAGCTTGACGTAAAAGTGGATAACAAAAGGTATAATTATAAGTGTGAATGCATAGTATGGGGGAAATAATAGCAAAAGTAATTGTTATGCCAGTGCCTAATCAACAAAACACACCATTCTAGCTCTGACTGTAGTAAGAGATCAAAGCCAAGCAAGATTACGGCCTACTCGCTACTCGGCCGAACTATATACTTAGACCCAACAAATAGTTTGATATGAATACATAAAATTATGCAATAACTTAGGTTTTAAAGGAATCCTTTTTGCTCTGGTACTAAATAAAGCCAGTTAGCTTAGAAAAAGTCTCACTCGGTTGGTAGAAACAATAAGAACTCATTCAAACTTTTGCAAGTCATCACAAGAGCGTCCCCGATATGAGACCTACTTAATTGGATGCAAGAGCAAGAGGATAAGTCATACTCAAGAAGAATCCTGTTAGACAGAAGAGAATAAAACAATTCACCTGGGCTTGCTGTTTGGAAGTAGGAACATTTATGTCATCAGCAAATAGAGAGGGCATACTGGCAGTAAGATGAGCCGACGCGCGCCTTGCGTCAGCCTCCTCCTTGGCTCTAACAGCCTCACGTCTGCTAGCGAATTTCTCTCCAATATGTGCGATTAAGGTTAAAGGATCGGCGAGCGTCTTTTTCTTTGCCTCCAATTCTGCTTTTAATCTTTAATAAATAATGTGGAAATTATAGACAGGGATTTAAAAGAGGAAATCTCAGATGTCAAACATAGATGTGAAACGGTAGACAAATAGAAGGCAAATTAAAAGAAATTTAAGAAACAATAATGCCTAAAAGGCCAATAAGTTGCATGTAACGTATGATAAAGCCGATTAGGGGAAATTTTATCAAAGCAGACAGCTCATTGACTACACCTAAAGAAAACTTGACTAACACAAATCAACAATCTGAAGGCAATAATGATTGAAACAATTCTGACCTTTCATGCTCAGTCTTAGCCTCAGGAATGAGTTTACTCTTTGACTCGAGCCACCATGGGTGAGTACCCTTTGAATCCAGGACACTCTGACCCAAATAGGTTAATAGACCAATCGCTTTCTCTTTCTTTTCTTTTTCTTCCTTTTTTTCTTTTTCAAAGTCGACATTTGAAACCTTCCGGTTAAGCTGAGCAAGATCAATTATAAGTTATTAGCTTACTCACGCCTTCCTCAACATCTCTAAATAAGTTTAGTCCGCCAAGTCCAGCATCATCTGCGCCAAAAATTTTCTTTGTGCTATTGACGCGCAAGTAATCCGTCCTGGCTTCTTGGTCCTAAAGAAAAGTGAATAAAAAGTACGAATGGCTACCGCAAGTAATGATCTAAGCCGATCTTGCTCAAGTTTTTCAGAATGAATAGCTTCATCCTGACGAACCCTGGCTATATTTTCTTTCGTTCGGACATGCCACCTAACATATAAGTGAAGGGCCGAATATAGGATAACCTCTTTTTGGGCAAAATATTCATGATGAAGGAATAGAGGAAACGAAGGAGGGCGGGCTCTAGAGCAATTAAAACGCTCGCAACAAGTGCACACAGTCAATAATTTTTCTAAGGTATTTTATTAAAAATAATAAAACTGTAATTAAAGAGGTTTTTTTAGCGATGAATTCACACATTATTTGGCTCTGGCGGATTATGTCTGCTAATTCTTCTGCCGATGCCCTCTTCTCTGCATTTTACTATGAAGTTAAGGAGATAGAAAAAAGGGATGCGGTTCTTACGCCAGAACAACAGATATCTAGGTTGAACAGACCAGGATCGACCTATTTTAACTTAAATCCATACGATGTACGCATTTAATTTCTTTAATGACTAGTACCTAAGGTTCTTCAAATTGACCCCGAGATGCAGATGCCGGAGGTAAAAAAGAAGTATCGTCAGGTAATGCTGGAATCTTGAAAAATATTCTCAAGATGTCACTTTTAGTGCACCCAGATAAGAATCAGCATGATCCTGAACGTGCCCAAAAGTCTTTTGAAGGTGAGCCGCCTTCCTTTTCATGGCTTAATTTTTTTCATGAATAATAATATTACACTTTATCAGCTGTAAATAAGGCTTTTCGGACTCTTGATGATGATGATTCTAGGAAGAAATGCCAAGAAGTAGTTGAAGAGGCGAGAGAAATGGTTCACAAAATGGTTTGTCAGTTTGTATTTCATATTTTTAGATGGAAGAAAAACGCAATAAGTTGAGAAAAGCCGGTAAGTCCACACTTATTGAAGAGGACGAGCACGCTAAGGTATTAATGTTTTTTGATAATTCTTAGTATAAACACGCTATTTACTGCCAAACCTGTAAACTTTTTGCGGATTTGGAGAGATTGAGGGTCGAAGAAGAACTTAAACAATCCCATGAAAGGTTATTTATCATTATTATCTTATTCTGCATTAAATCCTTTGCATTTGTCAAAAAGAAAAATATTTACAAAGTTAATTTTCATTGCTCCATATTCCTTAAAGTCCAATCTTACCTAAAAGGCTGTTGTTACAGCTTTTTTAAAAACTTGATTTCCCTATTTAATTATAATGTTATTTTAGGTATCACAGTATTTTTGTATTAAGCTCTCATCCACTGATTACTAATTTTGATGCTGGACAAATGAATCTCTTCTTATCACCTTTCGCCTTCATGTGTGTTTTCGGATTTAAAAACAGTTCCTGTTGCACGTTTTTTTAAAGTTATTCTCTATATATGTATTTTCATACCTTTATTTGTTTTCATGCCTTGAAGCAGTTGTCTTAATATGAAGAGAAGCTAGTTTTAGGTTCTCTTAATTCATTAATGTGACCCTCATTTTCGTTTGAAAAGGCGAGTGAGACTTTTAAGCTGACCTCACTAAAAGTCGGAGGATGCTTGACTTGCATTTGTGATTATTTGTGCATATAATTCCTTGGTGCAGCGTGACGCCTTTCCGATGGATCAAAAAGAAGGAAAGGACTCTTCCCTGTCTTAATGCTAGGTGAAATTTCGTAAAGCGTGGTTTCTGACTCTGTCGATGTCCGTCGCATGAAAATCTAAGGCCTAGCATGGATTCAGGAGGCTCTTGAAGGGTGCACTAAGGATTTGTTCGCTTAAATCTAGTCACAAATCCAAGAAAATCTGTTTTCGGCTCTAGGTGAGGCGATTTTGCTCCATTTACCTTTGTTAACTAATCGTAGGTGCAAAATAGTGTTTATTTTAGTTTTAGCAATGAGCTGGAAATCTCAATTTTAATTATGTATTTCGATTGCTTCATTCTGATTATTATGCAAAGATTAAGGGTCTGAAAACTTACCGTATTTCCCCATGTATAAGCCACCCTTTTTTTCCAAAATTTCCTGCACTGGCGTTTACATTGTCTTTTCTCAATTATTATACCAAAATTAATTATAGAAACATTTTATATAGACAAATGTTCTTTTATAGTGCTTGCAGTGTCCATGGTCATTTTGTATTTTTGGCTTATTGAATCATATGTAAGTAGAGTTTTGAGACTACCAGTAAATCAGTGTAATGAGATGTATTCACCCTATTTCGTGTAAGGTGATG